AGCCCCCCCCTCCCCCCTCTCCCCCGCCGCACGCGAGTTCGGTCCCTGACGACGGCGGCGCTGTCAACACAAAAGCGCCCGACACGAAACGCGCGTTCGCGTGCACGGGATGTCACTTCGTACCTATTGTAATAACGTTGTAAATACGCGCGGGGAGGGGAACACACGTGAACGGCGCGCACGCGAAACGACATCATCGCCGCAGAGTATTATTTTCGGCCGAAAAACCGAACCGTCGTTCGAACGGTATGAGACGAATCCATCTCATGAGAACACATCTCGGGTGTCCGGGGCGGCCTATTTTTTCGCATTTTTTCATCCGAAATTTTTCGCACTACACGATTATTATTTTTCTTTTCCCGGTCAAGAAATCACCCCTCCTACGCTCTCCGGGCGGCCTCCGAACGTGTACCGGAATGCGTAGCCCCGCGTCACTTTTCGCCACCGCCACCACTGCCGTCGCTATTATATTCTTCAAATTAATACCGAGTCGTATGTACGGATGACATGTCGACATTTTTTTCGTATCGTCACGCGCGTCGTGTTTTCCACTTGGAGAACATTTCGGGTTTCAGATTTCATGTTATAAAGAAAAAACAAACCCTGCCACGTGTTGTCCTATATATCAACACCGATTATAGCATACAGGAAAACAGCAATCGTCTCGATTTTTCTCCCGACTCCGAAATAATAACCGGTAACCAAACAGCCCTGACACCAAAACGGGAATATTTTGTATGGAAATCCGACGGAGTTCGGACGTTTTCTTCGGACGTGAAAATTTCGTTATATTTTTACTAGCGCGCTTTTATGGAAATCATTTTTGTTCGAGTCGGCGCGCTTTCGAACGGCGCGTTATCACACGCCGGGTTAATATATCGTAAACACAAAATCACATTTTTTGGTGTTACGAGAGTCATTTGGGCATTGGACGCTTTTCCCGTCGTAAATACTTCACAACGCTCAAAAGTCCAAATTTAACATTTTTTTATGTCCCGTGTAAATACTAACCGTGATAAATGTAATATTTTACTGGCGCGTTTAATCGATACCGAGTTGCGGAAGGTTATATACGGCGCGGCGGCCACGGGTTTACGGAAATGCCGACACGTCCCCGGTAAAATACATCCGCCACGCTGCTCGGTGTATACGCCGGGGCTCCAAAAGTGACTTACACACGCCGCAAAGGCCAAACGGCGTGCGATGTCGTATTGCGTACGCTATTCCGAGACGTCCGAAAAATCCGAAATCAAAACCGTTTGTTCGCCACGCGATCACCGCGTCGTCCCCGCGGCGGTATCCAACGGTATCTCGTGTCGTATCCCGACCGAATTGAAAATATGATAAACGGTGTTTATTTTCAAGCGCCGTCACGGCGGGCAAGGTCCCGTTTACCACGTATGAGTGGGTGGGGGGAGGGAGAATGGGGGAACGGCAATTTCTCTGGCAGATTACAAACCGATATTTTTCGCAGGGCGGTAAAGCGTGCGGTGTTTTATCCGTGTCGGGCGCGGCGGTTCCGGAGCTAAAAAAAACGCGGCGCCGGTCGACAGAAACGAGCCCGCCCGCCGTGTGTGTGTGTGTGTGTGTGCGTGCCCCCGGGCCCTCGGGTCTACAGCATAGCATACGAGAAAACTTACCACGGCGGCGGCGGCGTCGAGCCGGTGACGGAAACCTCGGCGACTCTTCGACGACGGTGTACGGGACGGCGCGATGGCACAGGGTGCATAATAATATCGATGGGCTACGGAATATTACGCGGCGACGATGATTGTACGACCGCGCGTCGACGTGCCGGCGACATGACCCGCGACCGTGTAATAAAACGCGTAAACCGTCACCACATCGCCGTCGTCCGCGTTTCAATTTCTACCGTTTACGACTCGTATTTTACGCGAACGACAAACTAAACGACGTTATTGTTTATGACGATATTAGTTGTAGTTACTATTATTATTATTGTTACGCGTGCAAAAATAGTGACGGTATAAAATTCTATTTGTGTGGGACCTACATAATTGCACGACGGTACGCGGTAGCCGACTGAACCGTATACACACGGTTGCGGTATTATCGGTACAACGACCGAGAACGCCGGTACCGCACGTTATTTTCAAGTTCAGTAACCCGGGCCCGCGCCGAGCAAACCCTTTCACGGCCAGACGCACCGCCGCACAGAGGCCACCGCCCTTCGCAGACAGTCGGGTCGAAGTTCACGCTCGGGGAGCTTCGATTTCGCGACGCACGCACACGAACGACGCCCCGCGTCCCGAACCCGGCCGAACACTCGCGTCTCATCCCTCGCTCGTCCCCGCGGCACCCGACACCGTCCGTAGCCGCCGCCGCCGACGCCGACACCGACGCCGCGGCACAGGCCCACACCATAGTCGCTATTTAACATTATACATATATATATATATATATATATACGTGTATACATAATATATATTATAGTAACGGCCGTCGCCGCCGCGCCGCCGCCGTCGTGGTCGTCGTCGTCCCGGACCTATCGCAAATCTACCGTTCGGATCCAGCCGTAACCATGACGACCGTCGTCGTCGTCGTCGTCGTCGTCGTGTAGTCGTCGTCACCGCCGCCGCGTAAAGAACGGCGCTTTGCACGCGGTACGGATACATTGTATACGTATTGCAGTTACCGTGTGTACCCGGAGTGTACACAGCGCCGCCG